GAAAAAATTTTAAAATATTAAGATTAGTAGAAAACAATAAAAATAGAAATAGCAAAACTCTTCAAAAAAAAAATAAAGACACATGTATAAAATACATTTTTAAAAGATACTGTGATTACTGGAACACATGAATAAATATGTTATAGTAGACACATGCATAAAGAAGAACCCAAAGGACTCTCATTTCACTGACCAGTAGTGATATCACTAAGCTTTTATAATCATAAATGTCTAAATAGGTTTCCATTTTCCAAGAAATAATGGAAATTATTTTCTCCTGCAGTGCCACTCATTTCACTGACCAATAGTGATATTACTAAGCTTTTATAATTATAAATGTCTAAATAGGTTTTCATTTTCCAAGAAATAATAAAAATTATTTTCTCCTGCAGTGCCACTGCTAGCTCATCAGTCCCCTCTGTGAAAATTAGAAAGAAAGCACTTTCATTCTTCGGGGCAGGCTTAGCCCAGCACCAGGGGCATGGTTCTGCAACACTCAGCCCATCAGCCCAGAACCTTTGTGCAGGGCCCACATCTTACAATCTGACTCCTGATCATGATGAGGTATTTTCATTGCTGCCTTCAGCTAGAATGTAGAGACAACTGACAATGGTCCTCTCTCTAATTCATATAGGACTTTAAGAGAAACACGGTTACCTATATATGTATTTCATTTCTTTTATTTAAAAAGGTCTACTGCTAATACTATTTGAGAAAATTTCAAATATATTTTTAAGTAAATGGACATTTCAATATTTATTATTTGAATTGACAATGAAGAATGAAATCAAATGTTTAGACAATTAAGATTTGTGTATACTTCTATAAACAAACAATGACCAATTTTTTTTTGGTAATTTTAGTACACATTTCATGAAGGACTGAAAATTAACTATACCTAAGTGTTCTTTAGTTTAGAAAAGGAAAAGCTACAATAATACACCATCCTCAACATATGTTTCTAGCTATCTTTGAAGAAGTTATCTTCGCACATGAGAATATTATTCATATACTTCTTTAGTTATGAAATGAAAACATATAAAGAGAGTAGAAATTCCCTTGGCCAGTTGATATAAAGCTCAGTCAAATCAAGAAATCATAAAAAAGTAATAGGAACATAATATAAACATTTTTATTTCTTTTCTCTTTTTTTCTATGCACACATTAAAAATATATCTATTTCTACACAAATGAAATGATACTGTACTTGCAGTACAATTTTTTTCTCCTTATACTTTTTCTAATGTTTAGGGACAAGGAAGTATGTATTTTCAGGACTATAAGATAGGCTTTAAACTGTAAAGTTCAATTTGAAAGTATTCATACTTTTCATAAAATACTAGTTACATAACAGAAAAAGACTTATTTAAGAACATGTTTGGTACTTCTGTTCAGTATTTCAGAGCTAAATATTAATAATTCTTTAATAGTTGGAAAACCTGAGGTTGATTTTTATTTTGTATATTGAACACATATTATGATTCTGGAAATGAGTTAGTGTTCCCATTTATTGAACAAAAAGTCTACGGTGAATCAAGATATGGATGATTAGTGAGAATCCACAATGTTTAACTTAGACAGATGAGGAGTTCTCTCTTGGGTCATTATGACTAAAGTTTTATGGGTTTGTCTCACTAAAACCAGCTAGCGCCCTGTTCCTAGGCAGCCTACCTGAGTTGCTTGTTGTCACACATTTGTTATTACACCTTAAACTTACCAGAGATCAGGAACCTGTTCATTAAGCAGCCTTACTGCTTCTGGCAAGGTTCAGTAATTTCTCTGTTACTATAGGAAACTTACTTAGACAAATGAACACGGTTAAAAATGTCATCTGTGAAGAATCTTCTTGGAATTATGAAAAGCCATGGTTGGTAGTAGAGTTAGCAATCTTAAAGAATGATAGAATATGGTAGTCTCCCGTTGGCCTGAGAATGGAGCTCTATATTTTATGCTTAGGAGATCATTGACTTCAGATTTCTGTTTGTACATAAGTAGATGGAAATCTTGGACAGCAATGTTTTTATTTTCTAGTCCATTCCAGGGAAAGAAATTATATCAAATGAAAATATTTCATAGCTTAGTATATTTAATCAATTGAAACTCTATGCAAGCTCTTCCGTAATATTAGCTGTAATCAAGCCTGCTGGAATTTTAGATAACTTTCCTAAAAACAATCCTACTAGTTATTTTGACTTCTCAGTTATATCTGTATTTTTCAGAAACCTTACAAATGATCATCAGAACTGCAGTTGACTTGCCTGCAGCTGATTTGACCCTTGCCTGGAAAATGTATTTCTGAGATACAGTGGTAAAGCACACAACTGAGTGAATAGTTAAATGTTTATTGTGTGCCCATCATGTGCTAGGAGGTGGGCTAGGCATGGGAGATTAAGCCATTTAAGACATGTTCCTTGTTAATAAGAAGACCACAGTATATTTGGGAAAATAGAAATAAAAATAGTCAGTAAGGTAATAAATGCTATAAAAGAGGTCTGGACTGGGTAAGAACTATATACATGGCTCATTTACCCTATTACATTATAAACGGTACAGGACAAGGTCTAGAATACCTTCATATCTCCTATAGTGAGTTGCACAAAATAAATGCTTAGGAGATATTTATGTAATATATAAATTAATGCAAAAATTTCAGCAGAATATTCTTCCACTATTGTGTCCAATAGAATTAATGCTTTGAGGTGTCTCTACTAATTAGTCTTATTTTAACTTTTTCTTTTGCTTCTCCAAATAATTTACTTTTAATAACTCCTGATGAGATGTTATAAATCTGGTTCTCAAAATGTTGACATTGACTGAGAAATGGAATTTCATTGTTTCTTGTTTTATCAGTCTTCTGAAGGTATGTCCTTATGCCAGTTCATTACAATTTGCTCTCTCAGTCTTTAGTTACAGATTTATCTCTTTTGCTAGATGCTGAGCCAGATTTTTCTTGGTCCTGATGAGTAATGATAAGATATTAAAGTAAAAGAACCGGTAATAATTACAAGAAGTTTTTTTTTTTTTTTTTTTTTTTTTTTTTTTTTTGAGACAGTCTCACTGTGTTGAGTCTCACTGTGTTGCCCTGGCTAGAGTGCCGTGGCGTCAGCCTAGCTCACAGCAACCTCAAACTCCTGGGCTCAAGCGATCCTCCTGCCTCAACCTCCCGAGTAGCTGGGACTACAGGCATGCGCCACCATGCCCGGCTAATTTTTTCTATATATTTTTAGTTGTCCAATTAATTTCTTTCTATTTTTAGTAGAGACGGGGTCTCGCTCTTGCTCAGGCTGGTTTCGAACTCCTGAGCTCAAACAGTCCTCCCGCCTCGGCCTCCCAGAGAGCTAGAATTACAGGCGTGAGCCATCACGCCCGGCCTACAATAAGTTTTTAATTCTTTTTGTAATCATCCTCCAAGAATAAGGGACACCACCTATAAATAATAATACAGTGATTATATCATTATAGGAAAGGCTAAGATGAAAAGTTCCTTTTTTAATCTTTTCACTATATTTGCTGTGTTGACTATTTCTGGTTATAAATAACAATTGACATGACTTTTAACAAAAATAGTACTGAGTTTTACTTGAGTACAACCAAATGAACTTTGTAAATTAATGCATTTTATTTCTTCTGAGTGAGAATGCATCTAGTCTCTAGTTCACTGTTTTAAACCATTTTCACGATGTTTTATTACGGCTCCATAATAAAACTCCAAGTAGCTAAAACTACTCTTTAAACAGTGTAACTAGGTTCATGCAGTTAGGTTCTCACATGTGGGTCTAATAAAATCCAAATAGCCAAGTAGGAAAAAGGCACAAACTGTAGTCTAGACTAGCAGCCGAGTCCTCAGACCAGCCGTATCAGCCTTTTGTGTAACCAGATGATTTTCTAAATCTTCATGTTAAACATACTAGATTTTAAAAAAAAATGTTGCTTTTAAATATTGCAATAGTTTATCATTTTCTGTGGAAGTAACCTGCACCAGTTAAACTTCCTGGAAAGTGTTCTTAGCTTACATGTTATAAAGTATAATTTTTTTTCATCTTAAATAGATTATTGAGGTTGGACTTTGTGAAGTTTTTGAATTGATCAAGGAGACGCGATTTTCTCATCCATCCCTGTGTCTCAGGAGTCTCCAAGCTCTGCTCAACGTGCTTCAGGGTCAGCAGCCTGAAGGCCTCCAGTCAGAGCCACCTGAGGTCCTAGGTAAGAGCTCAGACTCATCAAGTGAAGCATTTAAAAATGAATATAATTAATATTAGAATATTGTACATTTCAAAGTTGCTAAGAGTAAATTTTTAATGTTCTCTCCACAAAAGATGTTAAATATTTGAGGTAATAGATATGTTAACTAGCTTGATTTAATTATTCCACATTGTATTCATAAATCATAAATCACTTTGTACCCCATAAATTTATAGAATTATAAATTGTCAATTTATAATTTTAAAAAAGTGAATAGCTTCTCTTAGGAAGCTATTGTAATGTAGTCTTTATTTAAGTAGCAGGGATATAAGTTTTAAGATATTTTGCTGTGTTCCACTGGAGTTATGGTTTAAAAGTTGTAGTTCATGCATAGACATTTCTTGATTATTGTGATGATGGGGGAAAGCAAAACACAAATCCTGAAATCCAGAAATATTCTTAAACCTTAAAGTCACTATTGACTTAAATTGTTCTTATTAAACCTTTGGCTAAAATAGCTAACATTCACTTTCTTTAACTTTGGTAGTTTTAAAAAAAAAGGAATAAATGTTACAACCCAAAATAGTACAATTAGTTTCTAAATCGAGAGGGCATTTCTTTTGTATTCAAAATAAATAAAAATCTATTTGGGTTATGGATGAAGCTTCTGACTTAGTAGCAGCTTTCATTAAATAAAAGCATTTGTTTTTCTTAAAGTGTGTTTCAATTTTAAGGATGCTTGCCTTTATTGCCAGTGATTTAGGCTTAATACATAATCCTATAAACAAGATAAGAGCTTTTACTTAAAGGGTATTAAGGAATGGAAATACAGACGGAAGCATAATTTTTAATTTGACTAACTGCTTTTCTCTACTGCTAACCATGGGCCTCCAGTTTAGAGTTTTCTAGATCCTTCTGGTATTACAGAAAAATTCTCAGAAGTGCTAGGGCTGTGATTCTCAAGCATTAGCATGTATCAGTGTCATCTGGGCCCTACCTGTGGAGTTTATGATGTAGTAGATTTGAGGGGGAGCCCAAGAATTTGCGTTTCGAATAAGTTTCTGGCTGATGCTGATGTTGCTGGTCTGGGGACTGCATGTCTGGACTAGAGTTTGGTTTGTTTTCTGTATTTGGCTATTCGAATTTTATTAGACCCACGTGTGAGAACCTAATTGCATGAACCTAACTAAATGTCAGATTTTTGTGGTTTTGGTCACATATGGTAATTAAGGTTTGTGTTTGATTTTGTTGTTTTATTTTAGTGGGGGAGAGGGATGCTGGCCATTAAAACAACAACCCCCCCCACACACACACACTTGTTACATGCTACTGCCAAATAAAAGTTGTCATATATTGGGAAACAGTCGTCTTGTTGGTTATTGTTACACCAGTGATCATATTAATATTGTGATGTGCTACTTGGCTTGACAGCATTTTACTGACGATTTGATTTATTTAAGAATATTTTGTTAGTTTTTCTCAGCTCCTATTTGTCAGTTAGCAAATAATTGGAATATTTAAAATATCCCTTAAAACTTGTATATCATATTTCTTATTAATGCTTTGTACAACACACTAATCATTTCTTCCTAGGTCTTCCACCATTCTCTCACAGCAGTTGTTATACACTTTCCTTTGTATCCATTCTGTACATAAATACTCTCTTTTCCCTATTCTTTATAAACTAGATCTTGTTCTTAATAATAGTCATTGAAATTATAATGTGTGCTTTAGTCCAGTCATCTTCTATCAAAACTTTCACCTTACTAATTTGTTCATTTCTATTTTCTTGTTAACATTTTCAAATGCTACTATTCTGTCTTTGGTTCCTCTCTTTCCTTTCAGTGCTTATTTCTGATTTCTTCACTGTTTTGATTTATTTTTCTGTATAAAAGATTTATCATCACTTTATATTTTTTATTTTGTTTAATTAGCTCAAAGATATAAGTAGTAATTTTGTTCTTTAATACTAAATTTCTGTTGAAACTTGCCTCCACTTCTTTCCTTTGATCTAATATGACAATCTCATTAGCTATCCTTTTTTCCCCATTTGGTTATTTATAAGTTATTCATAAAAATATATGTATATTTGCATATAACTCTTACTGTTAGAATATCTTCATGATTAATACACATCAAGCTTCTTCTCTTTGCAAATTGATTTTGATTTTTAAATCATCTACTTAAAAAATCATTCCCTTATATCTATCTTTCTGTTCAATTTAAGGTTAGAATGTATGTTCTCTCTCAATATTCGTTTAAATGTAATAGCACCTCCCATGTTCCGTGCTAAGAGGGTATACCCTCTTACTTTGAATGTATGATACCATTGCTGTTATCATACTTTGAATGTATGATACCATTGCTGTTATTATGGAGCCTATCATCAGACAATTGGACACATACATAATTATAAGTTTGGTTAAATAGTATGGAGGAAAGTAGAGGGAGTTCTGAGAATCTTTAACAGGCTTCCCTGAAGATGTGACATTGGAGATTTGAAGGGTGAACAGGAAGGAGTGAACTGGGTTATAAGTGTTCTAGGCAGAAAGGACAGCACATAATAAGGCTCTGAGACAGGCAACAGAATGAATGAAAAAAGACTAACATGGCTAGAATGTGGAGAGTGAAGAGAGGGAGGGTCTTGCGACAGGTGAGAACGAAGGCAGAGACATGTGGAACTTATAGCTGATGTTAAAGAGTTTGGTTATTGTTTTAGGAGCAATGGAAGGTCATTCTCTTTTATTATACTTTTCAAAAATATTCTTTATTTTATAACATTTATTTTCCTAAATTATTTAAGTTATGGACTGTTCCACTTGAATCTAACATTTTTGAGGGCAGAACATTCTTTGTCTTGTTTGCCAGTGTACTACTCCAACCTAGAATAGTTTCTAATATACAGGAACAATTCAGTAAATATTTACTGAATAAGTAAAAGATGAGCTAAGGATAATGATGAGAGGAAAGATGGACAGAGGAAGGATAGATGAAAGAATGGACGGAAAGAAGGAAGGATAGTTGGAGGGAAAGGTAAAGGAAATCATTGATGGAAAAAAGAAAAGTGAAAATGAAGGATATACAGACAAATGAAGGGAGTGGGGAAGTAAGAAAAGAAGGATGAGGAGGGAACTGGAGAGGGAGGAATTAACAAAGGAGTGAATGGATTTTAAGTAACTAGATTTTTGGTTTGAAAATTTTCTGCTGTAGTGGGGCAAAAATGAATGGTAGGAGATAATTTATGAACACTTTTTAGTAGTCCAGTTAAGAGATTGTGATAGCATCTTGGAGAGATAGTGATGAAATAGAGAAAAGAGGAGGAATTAATTAGGAAGTATTGGGTCATTAAATATGAAATGTCTGATTTCAAATTAAAAGTTCAATTTATTGTATCTCAAACAAGAAACAGTACAATTAATCAAAGTATGTGCCTAAACTATTTGAGACAGTTTTGTCATCTTAATGGTAGGCTTGCTTATGCTAGCAGCAAAGAAGTCTGGAGAGTGAGTGGCAATGAAATTGTGAAAGGCGTAGCTTGTTGAGAATTGAATATTTTTTCTTGCGAGAAGTGGTCCAAAGCCTAGAAGAAGTGACAGTTAGTTAGTGCAAGTTCTGGTGAATAAGGTGGATGACAGAGAATTTCCAAGTCCAGCTTTCGTAATTGAATCAATTTTTTTTTTTTTTTGGCCACATGTGGTCTTGCAAGAAGATTGGCCTGTCTCTATTGACCAATTTCAGTTGCTTAATCGAAAACATCCTCATTATTTCATCCAGCTGGGTGCAATAGACATCTGCTGTAATCGATTGACCACATTTCATGAAGCTGTAATAGGTAATACCAGCACTGGACCACCAGACACCTTTAGCCTTTTTTGATGAGTATTTGGTTTTGAACCATGTTTCGTCACTTAATCTTCATCCAGCCATTGTGCTGAATGTTTGCGATTGTCGAAAAGGATCCGTTTTTCATCACACATGACAATATGGTGTACAAATGGTTCACCTTTATATCGTGACAGCAAAGAAAGGCAAACTTCGAGACTATTTCTCTTCTGTTGCTCGTTTAATTCTTGTGGCATCCATCTATCCAGCTTCTTTACCTTGCCCATTTGTTTCAAATGGTCCAATATTGTTGGAATAGTCATGTCAAACCTTACTGCTAATTCACACGTAGGTTGAGATGGATTCGCTTCCATTACAGTTTTCAGCTCATCATTATCCATTTTGGTCTCAGGTCACCCATGTGGCTCATTTTCAAGGTTAAAATCACCAAAATGAAACTTCTCAAACCATCGATATACTGTGTGTCCATTAGCCACATCCTTCCCAAACACTTCCTTGATATTTCGAGCTGTCTGCACTGCATTGGTTCCACGATGGAACTCATATTTGAGGATAACACAAATTTTTGACTTATCCATGGTTTTACAAAAATTGCTCTAAAGAAAAGTTTGAAAGATAATCACAAGCCAAAATGTTCATTTGAAAGAATAAGGATGTATCTTCACACACACACACACACACACAAACAAAAGTCAAAGTGAAATGTCAGAGATATCAACTGTCAAACTCAGTACTTAAGGAAATTGGACATTCCATACTTAACCTAATAAAATAAATAGGACTTAATGTGGAATGAGATAAGGAAGATGAGAGATTGGTAGGGGACACCTGGATGTCTGCAAGTTATCAAATAAACCCCAGGTGGCCCATTTCATTTTCAGAGAATTGTAGTATGTTAATTATCTTTCTCTTGCTCCTCTTTCTCCCTCCCTCCCCTTTCTCTGTCTTCATCTTTCTCAGTTTTTCTGCCTTTCTGACTTTCTTTTTCTCTCTTTGATTATTTACTCTTTAAGGATTTTCAAATTTCCCTTCCCTTCTACAGAGGAAATACCCAGGAAATGCCTATTTTGGGGGAGTCGTTCAGGGAATTTTGTATCGAGGCCTATGTTGGTCATAGAACATTCATGCTATTTTTTCATCTTTCCTACTAACTGGCTTTATGATTTAGGGAAAATCTTTCAACCTCCCTGTGTCTCAATTTCTTTATCCTTTAATGGAGAAGTATATCTGTCCTATTGACTTGGAGGTTTTTCTAGGGTATTAATGAATTATATCCTCCTTTTATAGGTGTGAACTGTTATGTTAATGATAAAGCCAATTTTATATTAAAACAAATTATGGCATATGTTTTATGTGTTCTATTGTTTTACAAGTATACACATAATTTTCTGGACACTTAACATTTTAGGAATCCCATACTTCTCCCAACCTAAAAGGTAAAATAAGTGCAGTGAGTAGTCTGTTATTTGATAGGATGATTTTCTTGAATAGGTGAATGCCTCTAGGCAAGCTTGTTTTAAATGACCTTAGACAGATTTTATTTTTCATTTATAAAAATAAGGAGTTGAACTGAATGTTCTCTAAGGCTCTCATATAAATATTTTAACTTTTTTGGGGAAAGGGTAACTATGAAGAAACTAATGCAAAGTACATGTTCTTGGTGACTTAAATTTTGTTTATGAGACAAGGTATAAATAACTCAATATACACATATAATGTTCTGTATATAGAATGAATATAATTGAATCTATTTTATTTACAGAGTCTCTCTTCCAACTCCTTTTGGAAATCACTGTTCGAAGTACTGGAATGAATGACAGCACAGGACAGTCCCTGACAGCACTTTCCTGTGCTTGCCTCTTTAGTCTGGTGGCTTCTTGGGGAGAAACAGGAAGGACCCTTCAGGCCATTTCTGCTATACTGACCAACAACGGTAGCCATGCTTGCCAAACTATTCAGGTATTTCATATTTATAGCTGCTTAGAAATTTGTAAGATGCTAAGTTGGAGTTTCATCTCAATTTCTATCAGTAGGAAATCCCTGCTTTTTTGTACTCGTTACAGTAGCTTGATCTGTCCAAGACTGATATATAAATAACCTATAGTGTTAATATTCAAGTTAAGCTATATGTGTGTTTAACTCTGTAGCATTAAATATTAATATAATAAAATTAATTGTGGTAAAAACTTTTAAGTCTTTAACCTGGTCTTTGCATGAACACTGCAACCTTTTCTTTCTTTGCATTGCCTTGCTCTCTGCTTTCCCTCCACCTCTCATCTTGCCCTGAATCTTCAAGGATGACATTCCTTCATAGTGTTAAATATTCTTTCTCTTTTGAAAGAAAAAGATCTGATATCGATCTGCTATATTTTTGGTTAGTTGATTATGATTTTTCATGAATTGGTTTGTTTCTGAGTTACTTCAGCTATGCGTATAAGATTTTTAAACTTTTAATATCTGATTGTGGAATAAATAAGCTCTTCACCATTGTTAGTGGTGGGAAATATAATCCTCTTTATAGGCAAACTTGATTTAATTCTTTTGAAAGATTCTGGGAATTGAGAAAGAAGTTATAATTTCAAGTCCTGATTATCTATTTTTCTCTGGCCTCTTGGAAAACCTCCAGGACAGATGGAAGGTCTGCCTCAATCCTGTTAGTAGCAGGCCAGAGATAGCAAAAGGAGTTTATTGGTCATTTTCTGTGTCTCATTCAATGATCTTGAACTCCCCTTGTCAAACGTGAGCAATCCCCTTACTCCCAATTTTTGCTCTTATTCTTTTCTTCCTTTCTGCTCTGCTTGGAATCCTTTTGTCCCTTTTTAAGGTCTTTAATTATTTAGAAGTCCTTCTAATGAAGTGGTTTTCAAGCTGTGTTTTATAGACATGCTTTAAGGATTTGACAAATGTTTAATTTAAATATATGTTTAAAATATACAAATACTTTTATAATTTTAATAAAATAATGCATACATTTAGATATTATATACTAAATTTTAATAAGACAGTGACCACAAATATATGAGCTTGTTAGGCTTCCATGTGATTTATCTTCGTATAGACTTATAAATGGTATTAGAGCTCATAGCAGGACTGTGTGAATTAGGTTCATAGAAAGCCTCCCTGAGGATGTGAGGTGAGAGCTAAACAAGGAGTTGAAATTAGTCACTCCAGAGGGATGAAGTGTTGGGGGTGTGGAAAGAGGATGTTCTAGGTATACATGTGCTAAGTAAGGCACAGAGATGAGAGTAAGAGTGGAATATTTGAAGGCTGAAATAAGTTTAGAATAGTTACAGCACAAAGAGATGACAAATAACAGAGACAGCACTTGAGTGCATATCTGTGTGACCCCACTGTTATGCTTTATCACTAAGCTACAAAAAACTACTAGATCCTCTGAATCGATCCCAAGGTTCTCTGCAGACCTTCTCATCGCTACATCCCCAACTCCAGCCAAAACACCTATTGAAGTCCATTCTCTTAACGTGACTCACTATGTTCTTCATGGTTTGGCCCCTTTTTATCTTCCAACTTCATTTCACAAAGCTCTCTTGGTTTGACTAAGGGTAGAGGGAGAAAAATGTTCCCTAAGAATATATAACTCTTAACATCTCAAATTGTTTTGGCACCCAATTGCATATTGCCTGTCTATTCCAAAAAGCTTAACTGAGAGTTTAAAGCAGGGTAGGGATGGTAGTACTGTGAGGTGCCTTATTGAAGGTGATTAAAGTCCTTTCTTGAGGGATGAACTCCAGGTTTCAAAGGTATCCTGCAGAGACAACACTATTGCATTTGAGCACAAAAATTAATAAAAAATCACATGGATAAAAGGTGCCATCATTGATAGTAGAAATAAATATAGCAAAATCAATCCTACCAAATCTTTATATATTGAAATTGCTTGATATAGAATACATATGTGTGTTTGTGTATATATTCAGTATGGTTAAAGTAATAAAAGAAAATGTCAAAAATATGATTAAGAGATAAGAATATAAAAAGTGATCAGACATTAGAAAAAGAACCAAATTGAGCTCCTAGAAATAAAAAACCAAATAATTACAATTAGAAACTTAAAAGATGGGTTAACTAGTGGATAATATATCGTTGAACATAGGAATAGTGAACTGAAAGATAAAGAAGAAGAAATTACCCAGAATGTAGCACAGAGAAACAGAGAAATATGAAAGATAAAATAAGAAATATGGATAGAGAATGAGAAAATCTTATGTATTAATACAATCTGAGTTCCACAAGGCAATAATAAATTTGTGGAGATAGAGTACTTGAAATAATGTTTAAGATTTTACAGAATTGGTGAATGACATGGAATCGTAAGATTAAGGAAGTCTAGTTTGATTGAGATTTGCTTCTTAGATGCACTTTTAGTCAGTACTTTGTGCAGGCATGCCAAACATGATTATTCTGAACAATTTATTTTCTTGTAAATGTTATATTATAAAGTATCTTTATTTTGTCTGTTTTATGTTTAGAACATTTTAAAATGTCTTTTCATTTTTTTTTTCTCTCTTTTGAATAGGTGCCAACAATACTAAATTCGCTACAGAGAAGTGTACAGGCAGTTTTGGTGGGAAAAATTCAAATTCAGGACTGGTTTAGTAATGGCATTAAGAAAGCAGCTTTAATGCACAAGTGGCCATTAAAAGAAGTGTCTGTTGATGAAGATGATCAGTGTCTACTGCAGAATGATGGATTTTTTCTTTATCTGTTATGCAAGGATGGATTATACAAAATAGGCTCTGGATACAGTGGAACAGTTAGGGTAATGTAATTTCTTATCATAGCAGAGTTTTAACCATAATAAATTGTTTTCTGGCTTCATTTTTAGAATACTATCTAATTTTGGTGTAATGATATTTCTTTGAAAATCATAATCAAAATATACGTATTAAATGTCATTCATCCATTTGTATTATTTTATACTGATTATTAGTTATGAGACAGTTTTTAGACTAACTTTTGTTATTTTGCAGGGCCATATATACAATTCTACATCCCGCATCAGAAACAGGAAAGAAAAAAAGTCTTGGTTAGGTTATGCTCAGGTAAGAGAATAAACTAAACTTTTCTTACCTTTTAAAATGTGGTTGGTCCTTGTATAATCAATAAATAATATCACTTCTATTTAAACAGAAATGGTATATTTTTAATAATACAGCTATAACAATGGTATAATTAGTGTAAAGAATATTGGCTCAGAATTCTTAAGATACTCAATTTTAGTTCTGGTCCTGCTTCTTAACTAGATATGAGGCTTTGGGTAACTCATTTAACTTATTGGGTTCTGTGTTATTTAGCTGTAAAATGGAAATAAAAATATCTTCTTTGGAGTTCTTGTTTAAGTTATTCTCTAGATAAGAATCAAAGACCACCTTTATTATTAGCACATCTAAATTGGAAATGCAAATGTGACCTGAGGCCAACTTAGGGCTTCCTGCCAAAACTTCTTCATTCTAAGTCTAGATCTAGTACCTTCTAGGCACTAGCTACCTGCATGGAGGGTCCTGCAAAGAATCACAAAAGAAAGAAAAGAGCTGGGCCCATGTTGCTTTCTTAATTCTGTGATCTCATCTGACCAACATAGCCAGATATGTGTCACCATCTTCCTAGATCAGCAGTCGGATACATTACTTCTCCTGCCATGGAGAAAAGTGAATGAAGAATGGACAAGAGGGGCTGGAACTATTTATTTTCATACTACACTCTCCTGAGAGGCAAATCCAAAGTTCCCTTGTAGAAGGATAGAGAATAAAGATGTCCCTACGTGCCTGCCTTCTTGAGCTCACCATGTTTGTTGTTAGCATCAAATGATGAAAGATACTTGAAAGCATTTTGAAAACTAAGGAAATTATTGTTGTTATGTGAAGAATAATCTTGCTGTATCAACTATTGGGGAGATTTTGAAATTAAATTTTAAATATCAAATTAATTTCTCAGCAATGATCTCTTAAAACTTAACCTGGTATAAAATATCTCATCAAATTTTAATTCGCCACTCTCTTGTGTTTTATCTAAGAAATAATGCCATAGAAAATATATTATTACACCAATATGTTCAAATGGCATATCACTTCATCTAAAACTACTACTGTTTTTATTTTGAAATAGCAGCCTAAATACTTCAGTTATTTTTCTTTAAAATAGGTATTAAATTAACTAATCATTTATATTATTGGCAAGTGATTATAGTCATTTTTATTATAATAAAACTTGTACTGTCCTGTTTAGTGTACCTTATATATGTTTCCGGAAATAAAATATGTTAAATTGATTCCCAATAATGTATAATTCCTCCTCTTATTAAAGTATATCCATGTTCTTATATTTTTATTCTTCAATATCTTTTAGATATCAATACTGATATATTATTGTACCTCAAAAAACCTTAATATGGAGCTGTATGGCTGCTTTTTCTGATGAGTTGGTAATGAAAAAATGGTTTAACACAGGAAAAATTTTTGTTGTTGTCAGGGTTATTTATTATATAGAGATGTGAATAACCACAGCATGACAGCCATAAGAATAAGCCCTGAAACACTGGAACAAGATGGTACTGTAATGTTACCAGGTATGTTTCAACTAGTCATTTTTTTCTTCACAAGTGATGTTAAGAAATGTGCATGTTAGACTATTTAGACATACAAAGAATGATTAGCAAGGAATAGTGCTTGCTTACAGATGAGTTAAAAAATCTTGATATGCAAAACATGTACAGTCTATATAAAATTAATACATGTTGAGACGATAGACATCAGAAATATATAATGAGTTTTAATATTTGTTTTCAAATTCTTGACCAGCTGTGGCCCAATTACCTCCCCTCACCTCACCAAGATTTTTTCAGCTACTGAATTTAGGGGGGTTACTTTGTTCTTAATCAGACCACAGCTCTGGCTCTCATATGACTTACTGCAAAGAACCTGTTTATTTTTCTTTAACAACAGTGAGTTTGGGTTTTCCTCTTTATTTTAAAAGGTTTTCAGAGATAGAGTTTAGAGTGGGTCAGGAATTTTTTTACAAATTCCATTATTTATGCTTTTTAATAATGTTCTCATAAGGTAATTTGGCCACAATTCATTTTGCTTTAATTTTAAGGTGTGTACATATATTCATCACTCAAATCGCTGCTGTCTAAATTCTGAGGCATTAGGTCTCAAATTTTGTGGAACACTATGAAAGTGCATAGCGTCATTGTAAGGTCTTTGAATTTGCTTATACCTTTGATACTTTCTAAAGTTGTTTATATTAAAATGTTGAATGTTTAATGTGTATGCCAATAATTTCATAGTAAGCACCAATATTACTTCTAGGCACTTGACCATCTGAAAATGAGAGCTACTTTTGAAGAACACACTGAGAAGAATAATTGTTCCCAGGCTGCTTGTTAAGTTTTAAAATATTCTTATAACTCCATCAAACATTTATTGGAACTTTGCTATCTATACATACATGCAAATTAGTATACATGATACCATGTTAAAGTAAATGCCATATTTCATATCTGTTTCACAAATAGAACAGCTTTGGAAAACAGATGACCTCATCAAATCATTTTGTAACTAATTTTCTGTTTTAAGATATGTCTACAGGTTGTTTTTTTTTTTTTTTGTCATCCCAAGTCCTGGACCATGTCTTTGGTCATAATAACAATAATTTTTAAAAATATTTTTAATAATATGCACACTTTCCATACATAAATATATATATTAAAGGTAATCATATTTATTATATAAAAATCATATGAGCAAAAAAGAATAAGTTGAAATTAATTACAACTCCACTTCCCATATATAAACACTGTTAACATGTTGTTAAATATCCTTCTGTTGTTTTTCCTGTGTATATGTACATCCTTGTAAAAAAGTGATCACATGTTACACACTGCTTTTTTAACCTGTCCTTTTCACTTCATATTCTAAATATATTTCCAGGCTATTAAATAGTGTTCCACAACCTATCTTTACCATTATAAAATATATTCCATTGATTAATATTGGAGTGAGAGCCTTCCAATTTTTTGCTGTATAAATTACACTGGACTGAGCATTGCTATCACTCTTCGTTCAAGTCATTTTAGGAAAATGTTGTAGAAGAATATTTCTAAATTGACAAATCCCATCCTCCATAACAGATGTATACTAATATAAAGAATTCATTTTTGCTGGGCACGGTGGCTCACGCCTGTAATCCTAGCACTCTGGGAGGCCGAGGCGGGCGGATCATTTGAGCTCAGGAGTTCAAGACCAGCCTGAGCAAGAGCGAGACCCCGTCTCTACTAAAAAAAAATAGAAATTATCTGGACAACTAAAAATATACATAGAAAAAATTGGTCGGGTATGGTGGCGCATGCCTGTAGTCCCAGCTACTCGGGAGGCTGAGGCAGGAGGATCGCTTGAGCCCAGGAGTTTGAGGTTGTTGTGAGCTAGGCTGAAGACACGGCACTCACTCTAGCCAGGGCAACAGAGTGAGACTCTGTCTCAAAAAAAAAAAAAAGAAGAATTCACTTCTGAGAAGCCCTGCTCATTTGATAGAGATCGTGACTGAGAAGACAATTTGAAAATACCTAGCTAAAGCTGTTTTATTTATTCCACCATGATACAAAGTACTTGTTAATGACCTTATTCAGTTAAATCCCTCTGCATCATTTAACATGTGAAATGCAACTTTGAACAATAGAAGTGTGGCTTCCTGTGTTTCATACATACGTGCTATATTAATGGTGAAGAATGAACCGAACTTGGGAGAATAGTCCCATATTCTGTGTCTTCCGAACTGGCGAGATGTTCCTTGATATATTCCTGAAGATACTGTATTACAATATTACACGACGGATAAAGAAAGGATAAAGAGAAAATCTTGAAATCACGTGTCAGGAAGACTCCTCCGTCAAGCCCAAAGAAGCCTCTTGTCATTTTCTCATTTCTTTTACCTGGACCGAATTCTCTTTAGTAGTACTTTTTGTTTTTCCTACTTAGGGACAACTCTGCTCTGTAGGTTTCCTATCAAGGAGCAGAAGTAAATTGTCAGGTTTATAAATGGTAATGAATAGCAGCCATATATAAAATCGATATAAATCAGGTAATTCCTTGAGCTTCCTATTGCAACTTATTATACAGTCTGTTTTACAAAACAATTATTTTAACCTAGTATTGGTGAGCTTAAAACATACTTTTCCCTGTGATAATTGTCATTTTATTCTTTAAGTCTCAGCATATCTTTTGGATTGTATCCTTATGTCATTTAGTCTCCATGTCTGGTGACAGGTTGCCTCAAATCATGAGGCTTTTTGCTACTCTTCTTGCGCCGCTTCACTCCTCACCCCTGCATTTGTCTGAAATTATAATGAGTTTTTCTTCTTTGCTTTTTAGTTTAAAATCTTACTGCTTAGAGCTTGAGAAGCATCTTTCTTGCGCCTCTTTGTATTCTGTACAGTGGACTAGGAACTCTTTCTTTCGATTTCTCCTCTCTTTGATTACCAAGTCTCTTGGGCTACCAGTGGGCCTTGTCTCCCAGTTTCTATTTCCAGTTTGTGATCACTGAATTCTCTATTTGGTAAGGGTCTGCCTGTGTTTTGCATATTTATAATAAGGAAGTATGCTAGTATGAAGCTCCTGGGGAAAGATATAGAGTAATTCAGCTTATTTGGGTGGGCTCCATTTCTGCATTCCAAAACAGAATTTTATGTTTTCTTGATTCAGGTGCAACTAGAAATGAAATTTTTTTTGGTGTTATAATTACTGGAGAGATTCATCCTAGTTCTCTGCAGTTATTTTGGGAAGTGTGTGTGTGCTTTTATACTTGCTTGCTGAACATTCGTTTTTCCAAAAGGATAAGGTTTATACTTAGATGTCGATTTTGCTTGTAGTTTCATGTTATTTAGTAGCAATCACTAACACATGTTCCAGTGGTCCTTCTGTAATACTGGTATCCCTTGTTGCAATTGAGCTTGTGCATTATTTTGATCAAAGTATATAGTGGAGTGTTCTGCAGAGATATATACAGTATTGACAAAATATGGTATTCTAATCAAGACACATGACTACTTTGAGGCAAAAAAAAATACATAAGCATAGATTTGTCTTCTCTGTGGAGGACAAATGTTTAAAAAGTTTAGAGCATGCTAAACGGTGTTAAAGTGCTGGAAACAAACATTGAATTTCTAAGTGGGAAATACAGAACTGGTTTTGAATATCATCCATTTTACAAAGCAAGGGATATCTGTAGTTGGACACGATAGACTTCAATACAGAAGCTTTAGGTCTGTCTGTATTTTTCTGTGACACTAATGACTGTGATGTATGTCTGAGGGTAGAGTGTTGCCTACATCGCATGTGATTGTGTTGAAATGATTATAACCAATATTATAGTTTGTTCATCGTGGTGCATGTTTACTATCAGACTGTATCTGATACTAATTCATTTTGAAATTAGGTGGGATCTCAGGTCCTTGGTTATGGAAGATTTATAAATGTAAGCACAAAATGGAATAAGTATTATTAGTTGAATTATTTAATTTCTGCTAATTTGTAATTCTTTATTAAAAAGCACAGTCTCCTTTTGAGTTTAAGTTTATCCTTATTGCGTGGAGAACTCTCATTTTGACTTCAGCAGAGGAGTAAAGTCATTTTGCGAGGTGATCATTTATATTGTAATGTAATTCCTTTTTCTTCTTTTGTGCAGATTGCCACACTGAAGGTCAAAATATTTTATTCACTGATGGAGAATATATTAATCAGATAGCTGCTTCAAGAGATGTAAGTACTCTGAATTATGAGTAATTAGTGGAAATAGAATTCCTTTCTCTTAAGTTATTTAGTTTTTATTGGATAGACTATAGAGCCTTGAAAGACCAGTTTATGCAATGTAATGCTGTGGATGTTTTCTTTTTTTAAGGATGGCTTTGTTGTCAGAATATTTGCCACAAGCACTGAACCTGTGCTGCAACAAGAATTGCAACTTAAACTGGCCAGAAAATGCTTACATGCTTGTGGTATCTCACTATTTGATCTGGAAAAGGATTTGCATATTATAAGTAAGATGGCAAAATAAGCATTTTTACCATGTTTTAATTTTCAGATTATTTATTCTTTTAAAAACTAACATTGTGTTTTCAGTAGTTCAGTTTGTATTTTAACAGCTATTTTGTTTCTGTTACTATAAAACATAATTTTGAATTAATATGTATAAGTAGGAAATAGAACCTTTAAACAGATATTTGAAGAGCATTTTAAGAAAGTGGCTAATAATTTTCCATTTTCATTTTGAATAGAGCAAAAGAAAGTAAATTTACATTTAATAAGAATTACAGAGGGACACTGGTGAACATCATTATTGTATATGTTCCATGTTTAATTATTTAAAAATTTGAAAACATACTATAAATGTTACTATAACAATATACATAGTTCTGTAATTGAAATCTTTAATTTTTATTTGAACAGATTTTCAAAATTGTCATAGTGTGATCCCATAGATTTTGAAAATGGTAATTGGCCTTACAAACCTATCAGTGGTCTTTCATTTGGATACAGAAATAATAATGACACAGTATTTCTTGGACTTAGTCTACTTATTCTTGCAGTATTGTAGAAATAATTAGGATGACAAGTTCCACAGGGGTCTCAATTTTGGTTTGCCATGCCAAGTTTAATAGTTCCATTCTTTAACTTTTGGGTTTCTTTGCCAGATCCACCATTTTTGATTGCTGTCTCATTAAATCTAATAAACTTGATATTAGCACTTTACTTTGCATATTTTAATTGAATTATGTAGTGTTTTTTATAATTTTTCCATAGAATAAATATTGAGTTGATATTATAGGGTTTAAACTTAAAAAACCCATAAATTAATTAGTAGTTTGTATAACTGAACAAAAGCACAAATGTGCCACATATAAAGTTATAATTACCCATAACTTTACAGTTTGAAAATATACATAAGGATCTGTGTGTGTTTATACACATATATGTATTTAAATTTATGGAGCAGCTACATAAAATGTTCTGTAGAAGAAAACATGGGATAGAGAATCTGAAATAATTTAGTTCAAATAGCTACAGGCTGTGTGTCTGGACTAACCTCCTCAAGCTTTGTATTTGCTCATTTGTAGACTGAACAATATAATTTTAAGAATCAAATGAGGTAAGGCTCATGAACTCTATAATGCCTGGTACCTAATAAATGCTCACTAAAAATCTGTTCGTTATATATTAATTCAAGGACTATTCCTGACATTGGGTTTAAAATTTTTTTTGTTTATATTTTAAAAATTAGTTTGGCACTGATTTGGAAGATTAAAGATAAGATTATGGTAACTTTCCTTAGAGTACTGTACCTATTATTGTTAATATTTTAAAAAATTGAGGCATATGACCTATTTTGTCATCTTTTTTTGGGTGATATTAATTGAATTAACATTTCAATCACTCACAGTACATGCTGAGTACATGTTTTACTTGGAATTATTCATATTGGGACTGCAATAGTATTTATTAGTTTTGTATTTTAGGTACAGGATTTGATGAGGAGTCAGCAGTTCTTGGCGCAGGACGAGAGTTTGCACTAATGAAAACAGCAAATGGGAAGGTAAATTACTTTTTGGGAGTAAAAATTAACATTCTCTGCTTTAAGAGATGTTTGGTACAACTGTTGATTAGTTTATATAATTCACATGTTTAATCATCATCAATTTAAAATTTTGATTTAAAATTATTTTGTTTTTATGTGGCAACATTTTATTCATGTTGAAAATGGTACAGGCATACCTCATTTTATTGCACTTTGCTTAATTGCTCTTTGCAGATATTGCATTTTTTTTACAAATTGAAGGTTTGTGACAACCCTACATTGAGCAAGTCTATTGGTGCCATTTGTCCAATAGCACATGCTTACTTTGTTGTGTCTGTTTTGTACTTTGGTAATTATCATAATACTTTAAACTTCTTCATTATTATTATAATATATTTTATGATGATCTGTGATCAGTGATCTTTGATGTTACTATTGTAACTATTTTGGGGCACTATAAACTGTGCCAACATAAGACGATGTACTTAATGGATAAAAAAAATAAAAAAACATTATGCATGTTCTACCTGCTCCACTGTTCTTCCATCCCTTTCCCTGTCTTCGGGCTTCCCTCTTCGCTGAGACACAATGATGTTGAAATTAGATCAATTAATAATCCTACAATGGCCTGTAAGCGTTCAAGTGAAGGAAAGAGTTGCATGTCTCTCAGTTTAAATCAAAAGCTGGAAGCGATTAAGCTTAGTGAAGAAGGCATATTGAAAGCTGAGATAGGCTGAAATATTTAGCCAAATACTGCACCAAATATTTAGTCAAATTATGAATCCAAAGGAAAAGTTCTTGAAGGAAATTAAACCTGCTACTCCAGTGAACACAGGAATGACAAGAAAGTGAAACAGCCTTATTGCTGATATGGAGAAAGTTTGAGTGGTCTGGATAGAAGATCAAGCCAATAACAACACTCCCTAAAGCCAAAGCCTAATCCAGAGCAAGGCCCTAACTCTCTTCAGTTCTATGAAGGCTGAGAGAGGTGAGGAAGCTGCAGAAAGGAAGTTGGAATCTATGCAAGGTTGGTTCATGAGGCTTAGAGAAAGAAGTCATATGTCTCCATAACATCAAAGTTCAAGGTGAAGCAGCAAGTGCTGATGTAGAATCTGCATCAGGTTACCAGAATATCTAGCTAAGATCATTGATGAAAGTGGCTACACTAAACAACACATTTTTGGTGTAGACTAAACAGCCTTCTATAGGAAGAAGATGCTATCTAGGACTTTCTTAGCTAGGGAGGTGAAGTCAATGCCTGTCATGAAAGCTTTAGAGTACAAGCCCACTCTTGTTGGGGGCTAATGTAGCTGCTGACTTTAAGTGGAAGACAATGTTCATTTACCATTCCAAAAATTCTCAGGCCTTAAGAATTATGCTACCTCTATCTACTGTGCTTGTACTCTAGAAATGGAAAAACAAAGACTGGATGACAGCACATCTGTTTACAGCGTGATTTACTGAATAGTTTAAGCCCATTGTTGAGACCTACTGCTCAGAAAAAAAGATTCCTTTCAAAGTATTACTGCTCTTTGACAATGCACCTGGTCACCCAAGAGCTTTGATGGAGATGTGCAAAGAGATTAATGTTGTTGTCATGGCTGCTAACATAGCATCCATACTGCAGACCATGGATCAAGGAGTAATTTTGACTTTCAAGTCTTAATCTTTAAGAAATACATTTGATAAAGCTATAGTTGCCAAAGATAGTGATTCCTCTGATGTATCTGGGCAAAGTAAGTTGAAAACCTAGACAGGATTCACCAATCTAGATGCCATTAAGAATATTTGTGATTGGCCAGGTGCAGTCTGTAATCCTAGCACTCTGGGAGGCCAAGATGGGAGGATTGTTTGAGCTCAGGAGTTCGAGACCACCCTGAGCAAGAGCGAGACTCCATCTCTACTAAAAATAGAAAAATTAGTTGGTGGGGTGGTGTGCACCTGTAGTGCCAGCTACTCAGGAAGCTGAAGCAAGAGGATCACTTGAGCTCGGGAGTTTGAGGTTGCTGTGAGCTACAATGACACCACTGCACTCTACCCAGGGTGACAGGGTGAGACTCTTAAAAAAAAAAAAGAATATTCGTGATTCATGGGAGGAGGTCAAAATACCAACGTTAATCGAAGTTTAGAGGAAGTTGATCCCAGCCCTCATGGATGACACTGAGGAGTGCAAGACTTCAGTGGAAGAATTAGCTGCAGGTGTAGTGGAAATAGCAACAGAAATAGAATTAGAAGTGGAGCCTGAAGATGGGACTGAATTGCTACAATTGCATGATCAAACTTAAATAGATGAGGAGTTGCTTCTTACAGATGGGTGAAGAAAGTGGTTTCTTTGCTGTACTCCTGTGAACATTGTTGAAATGACAAAAAAGGATTTGGAATATTACATAAACTTAGGTAATTAAACAGCAGCAGAGTTTGAGAACATTGATTCCAATTTTGAAAGAAGTTCTGTGTATAAAATGCTGTCAGACAGTATTACATGCTACAGAGAAATCTTTCATGAAAGGAGAGTCAATTGATGTGGCAAGCTTCCTTTTTGTTTAATTTTAAGAAACTGCCACAACCCCAACCTTCGGTAACTACCACCCTGATCAATCAGCTGCTATCAACATCAGGGCAAGACTTTCCACCAGCACAAAAAATTATAACTTGCTGAAGGCTCTATGATCAATAGCATTTTTTAGCAATAAAGTATTTTTAAATTAAGGAATATGGATTGTTTTCTTAGGCATAATGCTATTGCATACTTAAATAGACTATAGGGTCAACATTTTATATGCACTGGAAACCAAAAAATTTGTGACTTGCTTTATTGCAGTGATCTGGAATCAAGTCAGTGATATCTCTGATGTATGCCTATATTTTGAAACAAAATTATGACATTTAAGACTATAAAACTGTAAAATTTATAAAATGTTATTTTTTATAGATATTTAATTTTAATTATGGAGTTCTTACAATTTTTTGAGTTGGGATGAATTCATTTTTTGTGTTTTAATTTTAATGAATAGGACTGTAACTGTGAAGAAATACACACAGTGCAAGTTGGGGGAGATAGGAGCATGCATCATTAAGTTATAGAGGATAGAGGTCAGTCCATAGAGATGGACACTTTTTTCTTATCTAGTGGGTGTGAGGGCAAAGTAAGATAATTAAAAGAATTCTAAAATTTAAAATTATTAGGCAAATACAGTATATTTATGTAGGTTTTTAAAACTGGAAAAAGTGAATTGAGGATTTTATGAATTTCCTACTCTTGAGTTTGGAGCATATTTATGGAAATAAATATGAGCAATTATAAGTATAGATACAAAAAACTATTATGAACTATTTCTTTTGGCAAAATATATGTTATTTCCCTCTTGCTCAGCTCTCTGAAGTTGAATAGTGCAAAAGAAAAATTCGTTTCCTGTTATTTGTGTTTTGCAACAAAATATTTACATACTTTTTTTCTCTCATGTGATACCTGATGCACTACTCCCAAAAGAATTGTAATTTCTTTTTCTTTTTTTTCATGTAAAAGATATATTACACTGGCAAATACCAGAGTCTTGGAATCAAACAAGGTGGTCCTTCAGCAGGAAAATGGGTTGAGCTACCAATTACAAAATCTCCAAAGATAGTACACTTCTCAGTTGGACACGATGGCTCTCACGCCCTTTTAGTTGCGGAGGATGGAAGCATATTCTTTACAGGATCTGCTAGTAAAGGAGAAGATGGCGAGTCAAGTAAGTTGACTGATGAGCTGGACATTTAATAAAAATAATGTGAAATTTATTAACAAAGTTTATCATTTTTAGTAACACTAACCTCGTCAATTAATAGAGGTTTTTACATTGGGGCATATTCAGTTCATAGTGGTGCATTACTGTTTGTTCAAGAAATGTACCTGCTTATTTCCTAGAGTTCATCTTCATGAAATTTTCTGCTTTATGGATACATGACTATTCATTTGAGAATATATGCTTATTTTGTTAGCTAGAGTTATTTTAAAAACCTGTTTATTCCAGTAGATTATTTTAGGAACTCCAAGACATTGGAAGGAATATATATTCCAGAAAGAAGATAAACCTTATATAATCTTATGTAATAGTGTTATGGATTATTGTTCTTGATGTTATTTCTCTGTGACGAAATCATTGCTCAGCAATGAAAAATAAATAATTTTGTTTATCTTTTATATTTTCTATATTTCTGCTCAGAGTCTTACTCAAAAGTGTCATTTTTCTCTTTTTGTAACTTGTCACATACTTTGTACATTGTAGCACATCGGAGTAGCACCTTACAGAGATTAGGTTTTTAAGTCAACACATAATGTAAAAATCATGTGAAAATAAAAGTTATTCTGGAAAATCTCTTAAAATAGCCATAAAGCATATTACCATCTCTCAGAAACTTCAGCCTAGCCAGTTTTTCCTTGTAGCATTTGGAGAACATCGTTCTTTCTTTGCTTGAGCACCAGATAAAGTAGTTGCTGTATATATGGAAGTGGATCGTGTTATATGAAAAACATAATTGTATTTTAAACGCCAGCACAGCAATATGTTTTAATTCTGAAAGGCATGTAGAAACTGGGATTGGCTGAAGGAACAGCGGATTGATGGTTCCCATAGTTTGCGTATTTCAAGGATTTAGTTTTTGAGAGCAGAGGATTCTTGAATTACCGCATTTAGATTTATTCACTTTCCTTCCATTTGTATGTCTCCTTTCCTTAAAATCTCATTGACTTGGTTTGGCTGCCTAATATTTAATGACTGAGGAACTTATTTACTTTTCAAAATCTAATGTAAGAATACATGTGAGTTGCACTTTGAGAGAAAAGGAGATTATCTATATGCTAGTGTGATGGTGTTGATAATGTAACAGCTAATCCAGAGATTGGGATCCCCGGAATTTAGGTAGAAAACTAGTGTTTCCCATTGGAAATTTCAGTGCATTGCAAAGAAGGAGGATCTGGCAGTGATAGCCTAAATGTTAATGGGTCAGTTGAGGTTGACTCACTTTAATTTGCATGTGGGAAGCCCAGGCCTTTGTGAAAATAAATAAATAAAATGTATCGTAAATGCAAATAGTAAGCTTTTTCTTTGGGCTTTATGTATGAGTCATTATTATTATTGTTTGTACATAGATGTCTTAGATTATTCAATTTTATTTTAAGCTAAGAGCAGACGGCAATCAAAACCCTATAAACCTAAAAAGATAATTAAGATGGAAGGAAAGATTGTGGTGTATACAGCCTGTAATAATGGAAGTAGTTCTGTTATTTCTAAAGATGGAGAACTATACATGTTTGGAAAAGATGCCATTTACTCTGATAGTTCAAGTAAGTAAAAAACCTTAAACATCTTTTTACTTGTATGCAAAAAAGTTTCAATACTAGTTCATTATGTATTACAAAGATATATCTATAAAATTAGTATTTGTAGCATGCTTTCTCTACCTTTTTTTACATTTCCTTCCAAATTTTCTTTCATATCTTGTCACTAGGAGCACTGTTGCTAGTTTTATGTACACCTAGTCATAGAGCTTGGCAAGTGAAGCTTCACCTTAGCTATTATTTTCTCTGGAAGCTTTCTGTAAACTCAGTTAGTTGCTCATGCGACATATCCTGTGGGGTAATGCCAGTACCCTGGGGAAATGATTTTCATGACAAAGCTGATTTATAATTGTGGAAATATGTATCTCCTCTGTTAGGTTGTTAGAGTGAAATTCTCTCTGTCTCTATTGGCTCTTATATCCTCAGTGTCTCGCACAGTGTCTGGCACATGGTAGGGTCTCAGGAATTACTTGTTAAGTGACTAGGTGACTGATAAACCAAAGTTTCAGATATAGGTGTGAGGGATAGCACCAGCTAAATACTTTTATATTTATAAACTCTAATCTCAAGAACTTGTTTGCTGGATTTTCTTTGTAGCAGTTAGAAATGAGTATAATGAATGAGGCATCCCACTTGAAAGGATTTTATATGAGATAAATATATAAAGCCTTTGAATTTCTTTGTAAGAAGGAAACCAGAATTAATGAAGTTTATGATTATTCATTTAAGTGATTGTCTTATGCTAGGAAAATGACATATATAGAACATTTATAGCAATTAATTATAAAGTTGAGCTGTACCCAGATGATATGTGAACTGGCTTAAGGGGATAATGTTTAGAATCTAAGTTGGTTGCACCTGTCAGAGTGAATCAAAATTTTGCGGTGGGCTACTGTACAGTTTAAAAAGAATATTCGGTGTAACTGATGCTTACTAAAGTCCTCTTGGCTAGGGCTGGTGGAAATTTATATATTTGTTGAGCATTGATGGTATGTCAGGGATTGGTAGACCAGACAGACATGGGGTCCTGCCATTTTGAGGAGCTGAGAAACAAACTGGCACCAACACATTTTAATTGGGTAACAGTTTACTTAACCTTTCATAGCTTTCTTTTTATTCTTTCCACTGGCAAAAGGTAGTTAATAATAGTACCTGCTTCATATGGTTGTTATAAAGATTATAGGAGATAATGCTTAAGAAATACTTAGCATAGAGCCTGGCACATGTAAGGTCTCAAGGCATGTCAGCTAGTACTGTTAATAATAATAAATACTATTGTTGTACACACACACATCTTTTTCAAATGTGCTAAATACTAAAAGTGGGAGTTTTTGAGATGTGCTTAACAAAAGACCTAAACTAGTGTAAGGTGAAAGGGAAGGTCATCTTAAGGAAATGATATCTGAGCTAACGATATAAGACAGCTTTCCCAAAGTGTGGTGTGAGATCGATATTATTTATAATTTAAATAAAACAAATACTTTAATTTGTTAAAAATGTTTTCATTTTAATGTATATTAGAAAAATATTCAGCAGTCTTTGATTATTACTACTTAATAAGGTTAAAAATGCTTCAGTCAATTTAAAGTTGTTGCAAAAAATATTAAGTAGATAATATGGGTGGCACTGGGATATGACAAGTATAATGAAAGTAATATGTGAATAAGTGAAGTTTAGGAAATAGCTGTGTATTGGATTGTGGAAGAAAGCATTGTAGGTTGAGAAGAATTGGAAAGTACTGCTTCGGAAAATCTGACAAGTTTCTACAAAAACAATGTCCTTTCAATATACTATCGCGAGTGTTTTACTTTGTTTTGCTGTGGCAGGTCAAAGCAGGTAAAGTAAATGGTTTATGGCCTCCTTTGTACTTAAATCAGAAAAGTTTGAGAACTATTGGCCCTTCTGAGTACTGTCAAAAGGTGTCGGTTTGGGGGAAGCATTTGGAAAAAGTGAGCTGAGATAATGCTACAGTAAAGATTTGTCCCAAGTCTGGACAATAACATTTTAAGATTCATTGAAGCTACATCATAAAATTAAAAAATTAACTTGGTGATATTCTGTCAATCTTTTGGCCACTTATTTCCCATTTTAGTGAATTATTTTGCCCCAGAAATAAAAAGTTCTGCATTGAAGGTAGTTCTTTTACTAGGCTCACAAGGGCTTTTTTGTTGTTTTTACCAAATTTGTATCTTTCCTACAGATTTGGTAACTGATTTGAAGGGCCATTTTGTAACTCAGGTGGCTATGGGCAAAGCTCACACTTGTGTTTTAATGAAGAATGGAGAAGTTTGGACGTTTGGTGTAAATAATAAAGGACAATGTGGACGAGACACTGGTGCTATGAACCAAGGAGGGAAAGGTAGGTATTTAATTTTTGGATTTTAAAATTTGTGTTGTCTTTTTATTAGTTTTTTAGAACAACATAGTGAAGAATCTTAATCTTTTCAAAATTAGTGGCTCTCTGATTTCATACTTATTAGTTAGAAAACCACTAAATTTCTTACTTATTGGATAATTGCTGATAAAAGCATATCACTGGAAAAATTGAATATACTTTAAATTTTAAATTTCTGAGCACATGAGCTGGCTTACTTATATGTTTTTCTAAATTCTATGTAATATAATAGTGCCTCTTCGACTTAGCATTTTTGGTGACTAAATTATTCCAGAAAAGTGAATTTTCCAAACTTTTTATTATTAGTTCCTTTTATACCACATGTTTTCAGTTTTAACAATTTTTGGCAGTGGTCTATCTGGCAAATGTTATCTTCCTATTTAATGGCATATGCCACCTGTAAGTTTAATCTGTTCTTAACAACCCAGAGTGATCCTTGTGAATATCTCACTCTTTGACATGAAAAGACTAAATTATAGATGCACCTTCTTCATAGTATCCTTTGCCCCAACCCTCAGGCTGTTTAAAGGAAGAGGTGTTTATTCTTTGATTGCCCTACTTGTTGTGGTCTTGGGGTTTTTTTTGTTTGTTTGTTTGTTTGTTTGTTTTAAGCAGGGTGTCTACTTTCTTCTTGCTCTCAATTTTTGCTTCTAGCTACTATTAGTATGTCTATACCCTTCACTCCAATTTCTGTTTTTAATTATGTATGGGCTGGAGAGTAAGACAATATATACATATTATTAGAACTAAGCATGAACTGTGCTTAAAGTGTCAATGATTTTGAGGATTAAGCTCTGTATAAATTAACAAAAACAAGTTTATCTCTTTTTGGCCTTCTTGATGGCAGACTCATCTAGATCTCAGGAATCAACCTTACCTTTGAGGATCTAAATGTAGTAGGAAAGTCAAACACAAAAAATAGTTGCTAAATTCCCTCAGATTTGACCTCCCATATATGCTCTTGTAGTACTGTATGTTCCTTCAAAATCTTATCACAATTGTTATTTTTAAAATTTTTATATGGTTTCTTGATTAATGTCTGTCTTTCTTACTAGATTATAAGCTTTGTAATAGCTCATTATCATAATCCTTAGTACCTAGAGCAGAAGTCTGCAAATTATTACCCGATACCATTTTTTGTATTAGCCCTCCAAGCTGAAAATGGATTTTACATTTATAAGGGTTATAAAAAATGTGACAAAGACTTATGGCCCGCAGAGCCATTATTTTACAGTTTGGCCCTTTACAAAAAGTTTGTTGATTCTTTGCCATAAAGGAATCCCTGGAATATAGTAGGTGTTCAATTAAAAAAAAAATTGAATGAATTATAACATGATTTAAAAAGTTGTAATTGAAATATAAACAGGCTTTGAGGAGATAGTGACTGACTTTCTGGAAAAGGTAGTAAATGCTCTCATAGGAAATGACTTCTGAGCTGAATTTTTGAAGGCTGAAAGGAGTTTGTCTGGTAGATGAGATAGGGAGAGGCATCTTGTATATGAGGAAGGGAGAGGCAGAGGGAGCAGGGATGAGCAAAGGCCCTGAGCATGTGAAAAGACACAGGATGTTTGGAAAGCAGAGGGAAAAGATATGAGATTGGAGAAAATTAGGAGCCATATTGTGGTGAATGTCTCTTGCTGAGGAGTTTTGTTCTTCTAAAGACCTTGGAAATGTGTTAGAGATTTGTAACTTGTAAAGTCACAGGATCAAATATGTGTTTTAGGAAACTGATTGCTGGCTGTGGGAAGGTGTTCTGGAATGGAGGGGATTCTTGGATTCTCGACTTAGAGCATAGTTAGGAGACTTTCCTGGGTCTATTGAATAATACTGTTGGTAGTGAGGATGGAAAAGAGGGACTAAAATTGGAAAATGTTTGAAAGTATTATTGACAGAAAGTAGCAGCTAAGAGATTGTGTTTGACAATAACCTTCCCTACTGCCTTTTGCAGAAATAAAATGGGGAGAGCATTTGTTAGTGGTCCCTAAATTAAAATTTATTTTTGTTAATCTTATATTTAAGCATTTCTTTGTATAATCACTTGGCTTAGCATGGTATCTTGTATTTTTTAATTTAAAAATATTAAGGGGATACAAATATATTTGGTTACATGGATCGCTTTTGCTTCAGTTGTGGCTGTAGGTGTGTCCATCACTCAAATAGTGTTCAGTGTACCCATTAGGTAGGTTTTTGCACCTTCCCTCTTCCCCCTCCCCACTGCTTGATTTCCACTGAGTTTTGCTTCCCCAAGTGCTTATCAGTTAGTTCCAGGTTAGTCATGAATACATGTGATGTTTGTTTTTCCAATCTTAAGAGATACTTCACTTAGGAGAATGGTCTCCAGTTCCATCCAAATTGTTGCAAAAGGCACTAATTCATCCTTTTTATGTCTGAGTAGTACTCCATGGTATACATATACCACATTTTATTAATCCGCTCATGAATTGATGGGCACTTGGGTTGATTCCACATCTTTGCAGTTGTGAATTGTACTGCCATAGTGTCTTATATTTTTTTAATTGGGAAAAATTATCATTCATTTTTTAAACACGGGAATAATCTACATAAAAATTATAAATTGATCTGTCAAATAGGGTTTGGAGTTGAAAATATGGCAACAGCAATGGATGAAGACCTGGAAGAAGAGTTAGATGAAAAAGATGAGAAGTCCATGATGTGCCCTCCAGGCATGCATAAGTGGAAGCTGGAGCAGTGCATGGTTTGCACTGTGTGTGGAGACTGTACAGGTTATGGAGCCAGCTGTGTCAGTAGTGGGCGTCCAGACCGAGTCCCTGGAGGGTAAGAAAATTATTTCTACTGAAGAAAATGTGAAGAACACTTCTTTTTCCAAAAATTTTCTAGAGTATATTCTATTATTTTTTTATTTTTTTTTTTTTTAGGGACAGAGTCTTGCTCTGTCGCCTGGGCTAGAGTGCTGTGGCATCAGCCTAGCTCATAGCAACCTCAGACTCCTGGGCTCAAGCAATCCTTTTGACTCAGCCTCCTGAGTAGCTGGGACTACAGGCATGCACCACCATGCTCGGCTAATTTTTTCTATATATTTTTAGTTGTCTGGCTAATTTCTTTCTATTTTTGGTAGAGACAGGGTCTCACTCTTGCTCAGGCTGGTCTCAAACTCCTGACCTTGAGCAATCTTCCTGCCTCGGCCTCCCAGAGTGGTAGGATTACAGGTGTGAGCCACCACATCCGGCCTATTACATTGTTTCTTAAAGGCATTATTGGTATATACTTATAATTCCTCACTTAATCTTAGCCAAAAGGCTAAGAAACCATTATAATTCTTATCATTGTTTTCCATTATAACAATTTCTAATTTAGTGTCATCTTTAAGGTTACCTTTCTTTAATTTGATTCATATAAACCATTTTTTAAAACAAGTCATAAATTGTTTAAGGCTTGGGTTCTGCCTTTACTCTGTTTCTAAGCCTATTTAATACCAAATTTTTGTTGAACATGAATCTTTTCTAAGTGGAATTATCAAATATCATATAGAGTGCTCGATTAGGGATATATAATTTTCTTTTAAATTAAATTTATTGTTTGCAATTTTAGGGATTTTTGGTACTCTCGCTTCTAAAGTTGCTCCATACATGTTATACTTATCTTTGTTATGTGTGTCCTCTTAATGGACTACATTATTTCCCCAAGTTTCTATATTATTGTCAATTTAAAGTTAATATGTGAGTTCAGCAGAATAAGAATGTAGTTTTCCCTTAGAGTGTTAGGGAGACTTTTTAATTCCATTTTTTATATTGCCAATTATGGCCAATATAACATAATGGGATGTCATTTTTAAGATCAGATTTCTGCCAATTGGCTGATTTGGGGGAGTAGAGGAAATTTTGTGAATAAAAGCCCAGAGTGAGGATAGCCACTCCCCGTTTTTTCCTCTCCCCTGCTTTTGGCAACCACCGTTCTACTTTCTACTTTCTTTCTCTCTGTGATTCTGATTACTCTAAGTACTTCGTATAAATGGAATCATACAATATTTGTCTGTTTGTGGCTGGATTATTTCACTTAGCATAATGTCTTCAGGGTTTATCCACATTGTAGCATATGTCAGAATTTCCTTCCTTTTTAAGACTGACTAATATTCCACTGCATGTATATACCATGTTGTGCTTATCTGTTCATCTGTTGATATACACTTGGGTTGCTTCCACGTTTTAGCTATTGCGAATAATGCTCCTGTGAACATGGGTGTACAAATAGCTCTTTGAGACCCTGCTTGCAGTTCTTTGGGGTATGTATCCAAAAGTGGAATTGTTGGATCGTATGGTAATTCTGTTTTTCATCTTTTGTGTTACTGCCATACTATTTTCCACAGTGGCTGTACCATTTTACATTCCCACCAAGAATGCACAAGTGCTCCAATTTCTCTACATCCTCACTAACACTTGTTATTTTCTGTTATTTTGATCGTGGCCATTCTAATTGTTGTGAGGTAGTATCTCATTATGATTTTGATTTGAGTTTCACTAGTGATTAGTGATGATGAACATGTTTACATGTGCTGCTAGGCTATTTGTAGATCTTTGGAGAAACATCTATTCTAGTCCTTTGCTCATTTTTCAATTTGGTTGGTTGTTTTTTTGTTGTTGAGTTTTAGGAGTTCTTTATATAATCTGGTTATTAACTCCTTATCAGATATACAATTTGCAAATAAAAAATCATATCTATGGGTTGCCTTTTTACTCTGTTAGCATTGCCTTTTGATGCATAAATTTTTAAAATTTTCATGAAGTCCAATTTGTCTGTTTTTTCTTTTGTTGCCTGTGCCTTTGGTGTTATATCCATGACATCAATGCCCAATCTAATGTTATGAAGTGTTTGCTGTATGTTTTCTAAGAGTTTTTTTTTTTTTTTTAAATAGTTTTAGATCTTACATTTAGGTCTTTGGTCCATTTTCAGTTAATTTTTGTGTATGGTGTTAGGTAAGGGTCCAACTTCATTCTTCTACGTGTGGATATCCAGTTTTTTCAGCACCATTTGTTGAAAAGACTGTTTTTCCCCATTGAATCATCTTGGTTCCTTTGTCAAAAATCATTTGACCACATATGTGAAGTTTTATTTCTGGCTGTCTATTCTATTCCACTGGTCTATATGACTGTCTTTGTGCCAGTACCACACTCTTTTGATTACTGTGGTTTGTAGTAAGTTTTGAAGTCAGGAAGTATGAGTACTTTGTCATTCTTTTTTTAAGATTGTTTGGCTACTCAGGATCCCTAGAGATTCCATATGAATTTTAGGATAGGTTTTTTTTCTATTTCTGCAAAAAACATCATTGGAATTTTTAATAGGGATTGTATTAAGTCTGTAGATTGCTTTTGGGTGGTATTGACATCTTAGCAATATTGTCTTCCAATCAATCCATGAACATGGAATGTGTTTTTGTTTACATCATCTTTAATTTCTTTCAGCATTGTTTTGTAGTTTTCGTTGTGTAAATCTTTAACCTCCTTGGTTAAGTTAATTACTAAGTATTTTATTCTTTTTGATGCTATGGAATTATTTTTTTTTTTATGATTTTCTCATCTATAAATGTATTTTTTTTCCTTTTTCTTTTATTTCAGCATATTATGGGGGTACGGATGTTTAGGTTATGTATGTTGCCCTTGGTCCCCCCCGCCAAGTCCGTGTTTCAAATATGTCCATCCTTCTGGTGGTGCGCATTGCACTCCTTGTGTATACAAATACCCGTCCCCTCCTCCCTCCTTCCCCCTCCCCCCTGCCCAACATCCAGTAGATGTTATTCTTATATGTGCGTTTATGTGTTGATTAGTTAATACCAATTTGATGGTGAGTACATGTG